TCCTTTATAAAGTAAAATATACTCGTAAGCGGACAAGGAGAATCCTGCAGATGATTACCAGTAGTCACTTTGTTGACCGTCAACAATCGCCAGAGCTCGCGAGCCAACGACTTTTAAGTCTCCCCTATCCCTGATATAATTTGGTTATACAGAGAGTATTTTCTTCCCAAGTGCAGAGTGACCACTTAATTTCTAGGAAAAAATTTTGTTAACGATAATCCATGGCGAACTCCAATATGGGAGGCAATACAGGTTGTTATGAAAACGAGCATTTCTTCTATGAAGTCGGTACGTAAGTGTTAAACCTAATTAGTATGTCCTTGTTTCTCCTCGCAATATAGTTTTTTTTTTTTTTTAATCTTTCATCCTTCCATAATTTGCCCTTTACTCTTTCGGATTTTGACTTTCGCTGTAGATCCAGACGTCTTTAGTTGTGATGAATTGATCCCAAATACAACGGACCCTAAGCAAAATCCACAGCAAGTATTTGATCCATCTGCAGGAACAAATGAACTTTTTTCGAGCTTGTCGACAAATGGAGGCGGACAGACTGGATCCGGAGGAGCACGGTTGTGTCAACAGCAACAATGTCATCAACCGCTAGGCACAAATGCACTTTTACAAGATATCTTGCTTACGTCGACGATAAATCAAGGGAGGCTGGCATCTCCAGGAGCACAGCCATGGCTACAGCAACAATTAGGCCAACCTCCAGCCCCAGAAGGATATTTACAAGAGCCGTGGATAAATCAAGGGCAAGGCATTCAGGCTGCTGCAGCAACAGAGTCGTTGATCGCACAACAACATTCAGGTCAATCTTCGGTACCATTCACTGGGGATCCTCGTTCACAAAGAAATATTGTTAAAATTAGTGCGCTAGATTCTCTTGTCAAAAAAAGACGGTACGATAAAACATACAGAGAGAAAGTAAAGGTAAATATCTTAGATCTCTGTCTTTTCATTCGCACTTTTATGAGTTTGGTCTTGAACTTCTTTATTTTATTTATTGTATGTTACAGAAACAAAAACAGGACCTTGTCTATGAAAATGGAAGATTGAAGCTTGAAATTGAAGGGAAAAGGCAGCAAATGAAGTCTGAATTGGAGGCATCTGAGGTTGAAAATGGGAGACTGAAGTTCAAAATGGAGGAATGTGAGGCTGAAAATGGGAGATTGGAGTTCAAACTGGAGGAATTTGAGGCTGAAAATGGGAGATTAAAGTCCAACCTGGAGGCATTTCAGGCTGAAAATGGGAGATTAACGTCCAAACTGGGGGCATTTGAGGCTGAAAATGGGAGATTAAGATCCAAACTGGAGGCATTTGAGGCTGAAAATGGGAGATTAAGGTCCAAACTGGAGGAATTTGATGCTGAAAATGGGAGATTCAAGTCCAAACTGGAGGCATCTGAGGCCGAAAATGGGAGTTTGAAGGCCGAAAATGGGAGATTGAAGTCCGAACTGGAGGCATCTAAGACTGAAAATGAGATATTGAAGTCCAAACTGGAGACTAATTTTGGAAGTAAACTGTGGGATGAAATCGACTCTCTAAAAGGCAACGTTGCCTGTTTGGATCAAAGGACGCAAACTCAATATGCCTGTTTGGATCACAGGATGCAAACTCAGTCAACAGAACTGGCTGAGCTCCAAAATAAATTTGATAAATTGGAGTTAAAGCAACAAAATGTACCTCTGCCTCTGTTTCTTATCTGAAATTTTGATTTAGCGCTAATACTATTGTTAAAACTTAACGGTTTGGTTTTTGCAGTGGAGAACAAAAAAGAAGAGCGGAATGTCCTCAACCGAAGAGTTTGTGGCGCAGATTCAAGAGAATGGTATGGAACTTTTAGAAAATAACCTTTTGATTATAAATTTTTAAGTTCGATAAATTTATTTGGCACAATGTAATTCCGCAAACATTTCAATTTCCTGAAAATGTTCACTGCAGATTCTGTTGATGCAGCACAAAATATTCCTATAATTAGCGCAGCCAAAGAAGCAGAGTTTGCCAGAGAAGAAGGGATCAATCAAGCACATCTAAATTGGCAAAGTCAAAAATGGAAGGTAAAGATCTCTGTCTCTTTTAGCATTTCGGGAAAATAGTGGTTAAAAGTAAAAAGTTGCTTTATGAAACTTTTTTTAATATGTTAGCAGACTGACCTCTAATAACTAACTGCTATTTTAAATTAAAAATCTTACTAAACAGAAAATGGTTAGCAGTTACTAAAAGTGGTATTTATCAAATATTATTATGCAGTGATTTAGACGAAACTATAATCACTAACCCAAAATTGCTATAGCAAACAACACCTTCACTTGGACTCCATGCGTTTAGTTTACTTCTGTTTATATGTAGTATTTTCATGAAATGATGCAGATACTTGAGGCTGAAGTAGAAACGTTGGAGCGTTGGGGAAGGCTGGGCAAATTTAATCGAACCGATTGGTTAACTGAGTAGGAAACCGAAACTTGAAAAGTGGATTGGTTAAATGGTTTTCGGGTTAAGAAGTTTGGGTTCGGTCCGAAACCCAAAAAATGCAGTTTGGTTTCCGGTGGGCTGGGGCAAACCGGAAAACCGCAGTAGGCCCACCGAAAAGCTGAATTTTATTGCTTAAGAAAATATTTATCTATTTGCTCAACCTTCTCTTTTAAGCAACACATGTAGAGGCAGTGGCAACAGTCACTCACGGTGCACTTCCCCTTCCCCTGAGCTGGATTCGACTCAGCCCCTTGTAAAAACTTATTCAAAAAAAAAAAAAAAAAGCAACACATGTAGAGGTAAAATTTTCCTATTTTGATGTTTGCCCTGCTGGGTTTTGGATGTTCCTGTATATGGATATTATGGTATGTGAATTCCCTAGACCTTAATGTACTGCCTTTTATTTATTGACTATCATCTATTTCGCCCAAAAAGAAAAAAAAATACATGTAAAGGTCACTTTATATCTTTGTTTAAAATTTAAAATTAAGTTAGGACCTCCACCTGATTCATTATGGTTCATCCGTCATATGATAACTGTCTTTATTTATTTTTTCAATCAAGAATTTAGAAATGATTTATGTATTTCTTTATATTAATTTTAAAAAAATTAAAAGATAAAGTAAAATTTTTTATGATAAGATTATTAATCAAAATAAATAGATGATGATAATGTTAAAGTAAAAAAATATATATTTGTTTATTTTTTAAAAAATAACAATTAATTTAAGATGAACTCAAAATCAAAATATAATAATTATTTTAAGATGGAGCGAGTATTTGTTTTAAGAATTTTTTAACATGTGAATATAGAGACTATTTTTTTTTTTGGTTATAAATGTATATATATAAATTAAAAATGTACTCTTTCATTCTCAAAATAATTTTTTTTTGATTTTTTCTCTAAATTAAG